CCTGCGGGGTGTGTGTGGGTGAGCGTGTGCTTGTGGGTTGTGCAGAAGGAAGGAAACAGAGGGGAGGGGGGGAATGAACATCAAAAACTGGCAACAGCAAGAGAGAAGCTCCTTCTTCAGTGAGGACAGCGCGAAATCCACAAGAGCCCCCCACGTCCCTGCGCTAGTGGCTAGTGTCAAACACGGGGGCAGAGGAGGGGGCGGGTTTACATCCTGCCAGGCGGGGGTTCTGACTTTACCAAGGAGCTGCGGAGCTTGTTACAACACAGGTGGGCCCCAGGCCTGGAGTTTCTGTGTCTGTAGGTTGGGGTGGGGCTCAGCTTTTGCATTTCTACCAAGCTCCAGGTAACGCTGATTGGGACCACACTTTAAGGATCTTCATTCTAGGTGGGCAAATGAATCCAGGTAGGAGGACCAACTGCGGTACAAGACACAGGCATTTCTAAAGCTAAATAACTCACTTTTAATCAGATTAAGGCACATGGAAAAGCAAAATCATAACGTGAATTTTCATTCTCACTTGTAATTCAGACACTAAATCCTATAGGGTAGACTGGAGAGTCACGGACAAGGGAGTTAGGAGACGAAGGTTCAAGTCCTGATTCTGTCACTGGTTATGTGTAACCATGAGCGCTCCTTACCCTCTCAGAACATCACTGCCCCACCAAAACCTCAGAGATGCTCAGTCTGGACAATGTCCAGGGCCAGGTCTTACAACCTATGATCTCATCATTTTGAAACCCTGTTGGCAATTTAGTTCTAAAACTTAGTATTATGCATTTCTATAAAAAATGCTCAAAGATACCACAATTTGGAAACTGAAAACATGAGAAATAATTAAGTTAAGCTGAAGATAAATGCAATAAATTGTTGCAATTATGAAAACTGAAAGAACCTTCACTTAAACAGGTTTCACAGAATAAGAGCTCAAGAATATACCATGGAAACAGATTTTTAAATATATAGGAAAAATACTACAGTTAGTAATATTACTCGCCCATAAAACCAATGAAATCTTGCCATTCGCAATGATGTGGATGGAGCTACAGAGTATGGGCTAAGTGAAATAAACCAGATAAAGACAAATACCATATAATTCTATTCATATTTAAGAATTAAAGAAGTTTCAGAATTAAAGGAAAACAAATAAACAAAGAAAAAAGAGAAACCAAGAACAGACTCTTAATTATAGACCACAAAATGATGGTTTCCAGAGAGGGTAGAGGGATGGTGACACAGGTATGGGGATTAAGGAGGGCACAGGGTGTTGAAGGGAAGTGCTGAGTCACTCTATTGCACACCTGAAACTCATACAGAACTGTATGGTGACTGCAATCACAAACTTAATTTTTAAAACACTACAATTTTTAAAAGCCCAGCTCCCTTACTGAGAATAATCTACAGAAAGCAGGATGTGTTCCAGAAGGAGAACACAACTTACCAGTGGAGCAGAGCTGAGGGGAATCGTCCAAGGAGAGAAATCAGCCGCTGCTCTTCCTGGCACTGGCACCTCCCCTCTTCCCCACGCTGCTCCTGGGCCTCCCAGCGGGCTCCTTTTAAAGAGAAAAAGCCCATTCTGGGAGATCATAGCCCCAAGGTGAGTATCCAAGGACCTTCCCATTGCTTGTCAATGAGCCCAAGTAAAGCAAATCGCTGGGCCACATGGCCAAGTCGGACGGTCCCCCAGTGGCCCGGCACCCTCTCTCCCGCGGATCCTGGGCAGCCCCAGCCGTACCCCCAATGGGGGTCTGGCCTCTCCCCCTTCAGCAGCACAGCCCCAGAAGCCCTCCAGATGTCACTCTCATCTCCCCACCTCGGCCACCTGAACCGGCCCAGGGAGGAGAGCCTACACGTCGCTGACAGCAACCTGGCTGCCACTGGGCCACGGGCCACAGAGAACATGACACCCGAAGTGTCCCGAGGCGGCCACGGGCCACTGCGAGGCTGCAGCGCTGAGTCCGCACCAGCCGGCCTGGCCTGCCGGGTCTGCCCCGCTGCCTCGGGTTAAAGTGAACAGCTCGGCATTAAGTCGATAAGCCTCCCGCAGAGGTAGGTCACCCTCAAACACATTATCCCCCCTCAACAGATGGGGGAATGACACCACGGGAAGATTAAATGATCTGCCCGGCCTCGCACAACCTGCTGCAGGTGGAGCATGTGGCGGTCCCAGCCTGGAGCTGGCTCAGGAATGGAGAAGACTCTGGAGAGAGCCCTCCCAGCAGGAGGAGGCCTTGCACAACAGAGATCCACGAAGATCGAGAACACCTCACGTCTCTCTTTTCTCCTGTTTCTCCAGATGCCGTGGAGAGAATGATCTTCCACCACAAGGATGGGGTGGAACAGGGCGTGGGTGCTGAGAGGACAGACCAGGCCTGTAGGCCACCAGGAGCCTCAGGGATCGGCACCAGAGGAGGGGGCAGGCCCAGCGGGGTTCCTTCGTTGCCTGGTCCCCTGCACCCCCCCACCCCTGCCAGTTTCACTCCTTTGTCCAATGAGTACTTACATATCTAATGGGGGCAAATCACTGAGAGAGACACAAGGATGGACTGGACCATCTCTGATCCAGTCATGAATGTCCATGATGAGCAAGGAAATCACTAAAATACCAAGGAGAGGGGCACCTGGGTGGCTCAGTGGGTTAAAGCCTCTGCCTTCGGCTCGGGTCATGATCCCGGGGTCCTGGAATCGAGCCCCGCATCGGGCTCTCTGCCTGGCAGGGAGCCTGCTTACTCCTCTCTCTCTGCCTACTTGTGATCTCTGTCAAGTAAATAAATAAAATCTTAAAAAAAAAAAAATACCAAGGAGAGATTAGTAAGGGCCACAGCAGAGGGGCTGGCCATGTTTGGTGTTGGAGCTCACGTCCGGCTGTGGATACAGTGGGGTGGTGTCAGGGCAGGCTTTGTGGGGCAGGGGACAGGCCATGAAGGATAGGACAGGGACACCAGCAGGGCTGGGCAGGAGGGCACAGATAAGGGCACAGAAGTGGAGAAGGCGACCCTGAAGACCAGGAAGAGGAATGTGGGAGACCAAGGGTTGAGGGACTTAGGGTGGGACCGGCAGGTAGAAGCCCTATCACCGAAGGCCTAAAGCATGGGAATAAGGAGATTAAACTTCACCTCCAATCACAGTGCTCAGCATTGCACCTTGCTCACCGTAGACCCTCATTAATGCCATGGAGCAAAATGTGGGAAGGCAAGTTCATGTGAGTGAATGTTATATTGACCCAAAATGTCTTGAAACTTTTTATCAGTCAGTGTCTAGTCAGAACCATTCCTGACTTCAGCTCCACTATCTGAAGCGTTTGCTACGTTCTGCCCCAAATGGAGAACATAATACTTGCCATCAGCTTCTCACCCAAGAACACTGAAAATTAATGATGAGGTAATGTCTGCACTGCTCTGAGCTCTCTGGAGATGTGTGGCAAAAGGCATCACTATTATTAATATTTAAAGAGACTACCCAGCTCTCATCTCTTTTTCTGCAGACTGTTATGTCTCCAGGATAAGGTGATGCCAGATTGGCCTCCACATAAACCTTTCCAACAGACAGCGCCCGATGCACGTGCCTCTCCCTGAGCCCCTTACCTGGGGCTGCTGGGGACCTCGATCCCAATGATGCCGGGCTGGTTTCTAACCTGTTATCCGGGGTTGCCAGAGCACAGGGGCGAAACCAGGCAGAAGAGCAAGACAGATTTCGGAAGGTGGTCTTCCTTGGGACCCCAATTTTAAGCACTTGAGAGAGTCCCATGAAGACTTCAAGGGGGGTCACTTTAGCAAAACCCACATCCTACACCAGTTAACATTTTTAGGTCTGACGCAGTGCCCAAGAGAGGAAGAAGTAAGAATACCTCCACGGGCTCAATTACAAATGGAGTGGAAAGAATAACTTCAAAAGTTCAGGAGAGAAAAAAAAAATCTACTTCCTTCCCCCAAAGCTTTCACTTTTATAAATACACTCACACGAAGGGACCCAAGACCACTCCTCCTTATGAAAACACTACCTGTCTGGTGTTTGCAAGATGAACGATGCGCCCATCTTGCTCTCAATGCCCTGACGCTCCAACAATATCCTCCAGTAGCTTCTCTCTTCTTAAATAAAACTCATTTACTCCTGCGGATTACAGAAGTAACACATGCACCTGGTAGAAAATCATGACATTACAGCTGACTCTTGAACAGCATGGGCCCGCTGAACATGTTTTTTTCCAATAAATAAAAGCACTGTATTTTCCTACCATCCTCTTTTTTCTATCTTACTTTAAGAACACAGGATGTAATCCGTGTAACATTTGAAGTATGTATTAACTGTTTACCCAAGTTGGGGGTGGGGGCGGGGGCGTCAAAACGACACACGGATTGACTCTGCGAGGGGATGGCGCCCCTCACCCTGGGTTGTTCGAGGGTCAAACGTTCACAGGAGGAGGAAGCAAGATGGAGACCAGCTTCCCGGTCTTTGGGCTGTTCGTGCTGAGCAGCCCAGGAGTGGAAATGGGGTGCTAAAGCAGGGGAGGTTGCCCTCAGCACTGTGGGCCCAGTCACTAGCCCCAGGAGGCCCAGCGGCAGTGCTGGGAAGCAGTGGGTGTCCACGCCTGCCTGAGGAAGCAGCAGCAGCCGTGCGCCCTCAAACCTCACAGCTCCAGAGGCCGCCGCCTGACTCCCACACGTGCAGCCTTTCATAATCCTATAGCTTTCTGTCCACACATTAAACCCCCTTTGAAGGAGAGCTAGAACAATGTGTTTTCCGTCCTTCACTCTGATTCATCTCTCTCAGGAAGGAGCTTTCAGAGCTGCCCCCTGCCCTCTGTGTGGCCTGAGCCAGGCAGAGCGACCGAAGGCGCTGATCGCATCCTCTGATTTGGCTCCACTTCTGACGGCAGCCTCAAGCTCACGGGGCCCCTTTGGCAGCCCCGCGGAGGGGCGGCCCATGCTTAGCTACTAATGATGCCTAAGGCCTCCTCCCAGCCCAGCTGGGCTGTAACCTCCTCACTATGCACTCCAGGGGCCCTTCACATTTCTCTTTATTAACATTATCCATTAGATGTGCCCCAGGGTGCAGCCTGTAAGATCTGCCCACTCTGACCTCCCCAGGCCCCACCCTCCCACAGGAACCGGCTGCCATTCACAATCCAGCCACACCAAAGAAGAGAGGTCAAGTCCAACAGGGCCATCACTGTACACAGCACAACTTGAGACGCTGCCTCCTGGCTTCATACCCACACCAAGGCAAGGCTTCTTTTTCTTCTCATTTTAAAAAATAAAACTGGAAATGAATAGAGGTAGTGGCTGTGTGTGACCAAAATGCTCCGTGCAGAAAGCAAGCTTCTAGGTGATTCTCCTCCGCTTGGACTGGCGTTCCGAGGCCTGGGCTGGAGGCAGTGGGATGGACAGGGTGCCCAGTTTGTGATCCTCCTCCCTGCCAGCTTCCAGAGACACCCTTCTTTTAGAGATCTTCAGTCTCATGGCTTTCGCGATCTCCATCATCCTAAGGAACAAACACAGAACAAATGGGGCAGAACGTCCTCAGCAGGTCTGCTCAGGGAGGCCTGACAGGAGGGAGCAGCACATCACGCTCCTGGCCACGAAGAATCCCCAACGTGGCCCCCAGAGCAAAGCAAAGAAGGAAACAAGATCCAGAGTCATCAGAAAGACCATTTCAATGTAATGTCTCGTCATTAGAAAATATCCATATAAGTGATGGAAAACCAGGCTATCCTGACACCATTAAAACTCTGTTTACTTCTGATAACCAGGACCGAGCATTTGCTAGAATTTTGGTAGAGCTTTTACAGGCTCCAAGTACCTTCTTTCTTTTATTTTCAAACTCACTGCCTATGAGAATGCCTTCTATGGACAGCCCTCAGGAGAACCCCGCCAGGGACTGCTACAAGAGTCCAGACAGAGGTGTTCTCAGAGGCTCTCCTGGAACACCGGCAGCCTTGGACACCGGATGCCCCGAAACCACCGACAGAGGCCAACATACCCACAGTTCATGATCCTGGAAGTTCGGCCCCCTACTTAGTCTGAATCCCTCCTGGCAGGGCTGTAAAGGGCCCAAGACCACAACTCTGCCAACTCTCCCAGGACCCTCCCAGTCTGTCCCTGCCGCTCAGCAGGGCTGCTGGGTTACAGAAGCTGTGTGACATCCCTGGCAAATGGCAGCCCCACTGTGCTTCCCACACCTTGCCTGGCAGCCCCTTCCATCTGACTCAGAGAAAGTTCTTTTTGCTAAGCTGAGATTGGGTTCTCTTACAATGCCCAGCCCTGGGCTCCACCCCTTGGACCATACAGGCCTCCTCTCCCCAGTGACAGTAATTCCGAGACTGCTTGTGTATACAGGGACAGAATGCTAGGGGAAGCCTCAGGCCTGAAGGCCAACTATTCCCCTTCTAGGCTGTGTGAGCCTGAGAAAGTCACTGACTTCTCTAACTAAGGGTTCTCCCGTTGTTTTGTAGGGAAATCACTGAGATCATCACAGACTTAATACTACACCTCACAAGACAAGGCTTACTCCAAAATGTCTGGTTGCTCATCTGTTTACTCACTCGGGCACTGACAACTGTCCCCCGGTCCCAAATCCTGTCCATACTACACATCCCCAGTTCCCTCGATGGCACATCCTGCTTTCCGGTAGTACTAGAAATACATCAAGCCCCCACAGGGAGCTTGTAATTCCGTGCTGCTCACCTTCTCTCACTGAGCTTCAAGTCTCTCTGTAACACTGTCAGGTCAATCTGGAAGTTGCTTATGTGCAAGGCAAGTATGATGACGTATGCAGTGATCTTTGCCTTCATAGAATCTGAAATCAAGTTCCGCAGGCTGCAAAGGCAGTGGCAGTAAAGGAGAGACAGTGCGTAAGATGATTATTCTGAGAGCAAAATAAAAACATCCAAACCCGTTCTCATACACACACAATGTCTTCCCATCTTGGGGAGAAGAAAAGAAAGTTGAGCACCATTCGAGGTCCTGTCATGGTGCCCATGCCGTCACACACAGTGGAGCAGTGAGGAAACCCCAGCATCCCCTCCAGGTGGGACAAAGAAAGCCACATGTATACTTTCCCCAGGCAGAGTTAGAGTCTCGCAATGATAAGGACCCTCAGAGCCTGACCTCACTGATCAGCTGGGCTGCTGGGAAAACAGTCATCCCAAACCCAGTTGCTGATGTTTCCTCATAGCAGGAAACACATTCTGAGCCAAGGGCAGGAAAGAAGGCCAGATATGCTGCTCTGGGTCCTTTCCCCAAACTCATCACACTGGCCTATGCTTTTCTGCTCCACTGCCTTCCCATGGAACACCAGTTCTGTGGGGTATGAGGAAGGATTCTTTGAAAGAAGTCTCCATGGCAGGACTTCCTAGAGCTGCTAATAGGAACTTCTCCAAGGGGCACAGAGCATGTAATATGTAGGGTTTCCTCAACTATCTTGACCCCAGGCCCCTGCAAATGGCCATGAGTGCTCTCCTCAGCAGTGTCTGCGGACATGGAAGCCAATCCATGCTCTAGTGCCCCTGCCCAACCCTTCCCGCCTGCTTTCTCCTCCACAGGCAGAAGCCCCGGAAGTCAAGCCCCGGAAATCAAGCCCTGACCTGCCATTGTTGTAGGTCAAGCAGGTGAAGTGCTTCAGCAGTTTGCTGTTGATGATGTGGGGGACTCCAGGTCCCAGGGCACCTGTAACACAAAGGTGAGTTTGTGCGTTTTGTTTCCAAACCCTTGTACCACACCTCCTCCGTGAGCTGGGACAAGAGGCCAACAGCTGTGCCACCACAAGGAACAGAACCGTGTGGGAAGAGAAGCAGGGGCCTGTGAACCAGGACAGCCACCTGCCAATGCAAACGTGCTCAGGGTACTTCAGCCTGCAGGCTGCCTGCGCCTGAGAGACATCTGTGACGGGGCAGCGGTGAGAAGGAGGAACAGACTCCGATGAGGCCTGATGTCACAGAATTCATAAGATGCAACACAGACTGTGGCAAAAGCCCAGGGAGAGGGAAAGAAGGGCAACTGGAACGTGCAAATGAGCAACAACCAAGTACCGACAACATACAGCCTCTTGGGGGCTCCAGCACTGTAACGAGACGGCACCAGCTTGGGCCTGAAACCACAGGTGGGTTTCCAACTCCGGGGAGATAGGAATGTGGGGCACCCCCCACACACCTGCCGTAGCCCTTACTGAAGGTGACACGGGTGACCAGGGGAAATGGACTCTCTTCTCTCTCAGTCGGAAATTAGCTGACACAACACAGCCCTGCCACCAGCCTTCAGGTGAGCAAAGCCGATTTTTCTCCCCACAGGATTGACCTTTGTCCAACCGTCTCTTAAAATTTTCATTTGATTTGACTGGATACTATACTTTGCCCAATGCAGAAGAAAGAGCAGTCAATGTTAGCTCTGAACAATCGTACAACCCAGCCTGTCCCCACTTTCAGATGAGGAAAGAGCCGGGCCAATTGTCTCGGCATGCTGGTGGCGCCCACAGGAACCCGTTATACAGAACTAAAGATCTGCACAAGCACAGGCTTTTCTTCTCTCATCAGAGCCAGTTACACAAGTAACAGGCTGGAAATAACTAGAATAAAATGTCTACTTACTTTTCCGCTTAATCACTTTCTGCGCTCGAAATTTGATGAGTGTGTCCAGAAACCATATGCATCGGGCCTGGCGGTCTCGGCTCTCCTCATCTGATGGCAAAGACTTCAACGCTTCTATGACAAAGGAGCAGTGGCTAAAAGAAGGGCGGGGTGGGGGGGGGGCAAAGGAGGAATGCATTTAAGACCAGCTGTCAGGAGCCACTCCCGCTCTCACAATGAAAACAGCAGGCATCTGCCACAGCTAATACACAACAGTCGAGGAAGGGCCATCCTGCTAATGCTCCTTGTAACACCGCGAGCACAGGGCTAGGGCACTAAAGGGCTAGACAATAAATATTCCAGCCTCTGTGGGCCCTGTGGTCTCTGGCTGCATCTACTCAGAGCTGCCCCTGTAGTGCAAGAGCAGCCATTAATCATACACAAATGAATGGCCATGGCTGTGTTCCAATAAAACTTTATTCGTAGGCAGCAGACGGACTTGGCACAGTCTGCCAACACAGTCGACTGCCAGACAGTCCGCCCCATCCTGATGTTGTGCTCAGGGGCTCAGGCTCTTGAGTTAGACTGCCCGGGTTTGAACCCCCCCTTTTAGTGGCTTAGGCAAGTTTCTATATTCTATACATCTCTGTACACCATCTCTGCCTAAAAATTTAGGATAAAGATAGTAGCCTCCTTCTAGGATTTTTTGGTGCATTGAATGAGACAATGCAAGAAGAGCGTTTAGAACAGTACTTGGCACATGTAAGAGCTCCTTCAGTGTTAACCGTTATTTTTATGTACTGTTCCACCACCAGGAGGATCCTGAACTCAGAGGTGAGAAGGCTCTTCAAGGTCATCTTACAGCAGCCTCATTTCACAGATAAGAAAACTGAGGGTCTGAGAGGGAAGACCACGCAGTACCTCTCGCAGAGCTCAGGGACTCTGTTCTCCAGACTCTCAGCCCAGAGCTCATTCCTGCACCTGCTGTGCAGCCACAGTTACACGAAGACAACCAAGAACCAGGAATAAGCTTTTCTGCACATATATCTTTGGAACAAAAACCAAAAAAAGCACTCTCGAAAACTTGGGAACCAACCCAGGGTTGACAATTTTTCATTTTCTCAAGATGAAATTATTAAAAGAACTCAAAAAGTAAGAAATTCCATTGTCCCTGTAAAAGAAAAGCTGCTCGAAGGGCCAAAGGAGACAGGGAAGTATTTTAAAATACACACTATTTAAATTAGTTAACTTTTTATTATTTTTTTTTATTTTTTTTTTTTTTATTTTTTTTTTTAAAGATTTTTCTTATTTATTTGACAGAGAGAAATCACAAGTAAGCAGAGAGGCAGACAGAGAGAGAGGAGGAAGCAGGCTCCCCGCTGAGCAGAAAGCCCGATGTGGGGCTCGAACCCAGGACCTGGGATCATGACCTGAGCCGAAGGCAGCGGCTTAACCCACTGAGCCACCCAGGTGCCCCTAGTTAACTTTTTAAAAAGATTTATTTATTTCTTTTAGAGTGCGAGCACGTGCACAAGCGGGGGAGGGGCAGAGGGAGAGAGAGGGAAAGAAGCAGACTCCCTGGTAAGTGCAGGGTTTGAAACGGGGGCTTGATCTCATGACCCTGAGATCGTGACCTGAGCTGAAATCAAGAGTCAGACCCTTAGCCAACTGAGCCATCAGGGTGCCCCCATAAATTTGACTTTATGTATATTGTGTATAAAGTGACTTTATGTATGAAGTGTCCACTAGCACCTAGTCACAGGTTGGCACCTGGGCCCTGCCAGGGACAATCACCGTCAGCATAACACTGGGGACACCAGGCCAGCTCCGGCTCCAAGTCCCACACTGCAAGGCCTCACCACCCTCTGCTCAGCCAAAGGCACCATGCACTCAGAGGCGACCTCTCTCCCCCCTGAATGCCACCCACAGCCTTGGGACAGAGGCCCGAAACATTTTCAAGAAAACACTGGCTCATTCATGTTCAAATGTTGAAAAGACATACACCCCTACCAACGGACATCCCTAAAGGTCCGCTTCATGTCTGACTACTGTCGAGTTCTGACATCACTGCCTCAGACACTCCATCTACCCCAGGGCGGGGGAGGAGGTTACCTGTTCTCTTCAATCATCTTCAGTATTTCCTCTGAGGAGACATTCCTGAAAGCTTCGGAGGGGCTCTGAAGAGCTTCATACTCTGCGGTGGACAGAACTAGTGACAAGTCAAGAACATAATCTGACCAAAATGGAAACATCCAACGAGCTTGCTCACCTCAGAGTGGCCCCATGTTAGAGATGGTAAAGCTGAGGCCCAGATCGGGGAAGACCACACAGTATTAGGGGGCTGAGCACAGGGAATCAGTTCTCCAGACTCCTGGCCCAGAGTCCATTCCCTGCTGGGGCTTTTCTGCCTCCTCAGCTGATTAAAAAGCCACTGCAGTTATTTTCCCTCTGACTAGACCGACCAGTAGGAAAATTCTATGCTCTACCTTTTACAGATCATCTGCCCTAGACTTAGGGCTGACGTGAAAGTCTTATTTTGACTATCCACAGAGAGTGGCCCCCCCAAGGCTGAGCTTGAGGGTATCTGGCACTTTGCTGAGGAATGGGCTGGACTCTCAGAGGCTGAGGGCCGGTCCCACAGCTGGTGAGGAAGCCTAGCTGACTTCCCAGCAATGGCGCCAGGGCGAGTACTCCTGTGAGCGTGATGGGACCAGCAACGTCCTTAGAGAGACTGTCTGCCCACTCACGTGTGCACCTCTCAACTTGGGAAATAAAGCAGCATTTCTACTGCAACAAGGATACGGTCTTCAAACTTATACACGTCTTCAGGCTTGGTGGCATCAGCATGGCAGGGAGGAAGGTAGAGGGAGTCATCCTGCAGGTCGTCATGGATGGCGTCATTGACCAGAGCTTTTCAATAAAGGAAGAGATGGTGCTGGTATCATGCTGTTTGGGTTCAGGCTCCCCAGTACTCTGTAACTTGTGTACTCAAGATTAATTGGCCCAGAAACTCCTAATCGGGATGCTTCTGCCAATGCGGCTTGACCAGGCTGACGTCCACTCATAACACAAACCTAACCAGGCCCTGGAGAAGGCACACGCAGCACGGCTCCCCTCAAGCAGCCCGCACAGTAGCTGGGAGGGACAGGTGAGCTAATAAATATTTACAATATAAGAGAAGCTAGGGGCGCCTGGCTGGCTCAGTGGGTTAAAGCCTCTGCCTTCGGCTCAGGTCATGATCCCAGGGTCCTGGGATCGAGCCCCACATCGGGCTCTCTGCTCCACGGGGAGCCTGCTTCCTCCTCTCTCTCTCTCTGCCTGCCTTTCTGCCTACTTGTGATCTCTGTCAAATAAATAAATAAAATCTTTAAAAAAAAAAAAGAGAGAGAAGCTAAAAGTGAGGAAGAGAGCCATTCACGGCTTAACGTCCAGAAAACTCCACAAATTGTGAGTAAAAACGAAAAATAAGAATATAAAACTGTGAACGACTCTATAAGAAAAACCACGTAAGGATTAAGTAAGCTAGGGCGCCTGGGTGGCTCAGTCAGTTAAGCATCTGACTTCAACCTGGGTCGTGATCCCAGGGTCCTAGGATTGGGCCCCGTATTGGGCTCCCTGTTCAGCAGGAAGCCTGCTTCTTTCTGCCTGCTGCTTCCCCTGCTTGTGCTGTCCCTCTCTCTCTAATAAATTAATGAAATTGTTAAAAAAAAAAAAATTGTAGGGGCACCTGTGTGGCTTAGTCATTGAGTGCCCCTTTGGCTCTGGTCATGGTCCCAAGGGCCTGGGATCAAGCCCCATATGGGGCTCCCTGCTCGGCAGGAAGCCTGCTTCGCCCTCTCCCACTCCCCCTGCTTATGTTCCCTCTCTCACTGTTGTCTCTGTCAAATAAATTAAAAAAAAAAAAATTAAGAAAGAAAAAAAACAATTGTATTAAAAAAAGAATTAAGCAAGCATATAAACATAGAGAGGAATACAGGAACATTCTAATAGTTCATCTGGTAAAATGATGGGAAATGAGTGAATTCTTTTTTTTTTAAGGTGTGTTTTTTTTTTAAGATTTTATTCATTTATTTGACAGAGAGAGAGATCACAAGTAGACAGAGAGGCAGGCAGAGAGAGGGAGAAGCAGCCTCCCTGCTGAGCAGAGAGCCTGATGTGGGGCTTGATCCCAGACCCTGAGATCATGACCTGAGACGAAGGCGGAGGATTAACCCACTGAGCCACTCAGGCACCCCACGGGTTTTTTGGTTTTTTTTGTTTTTTTTTTTAAAGATTTTATCTATTTATTTGACATAGACAACAGTGAGAGAGGGAACAGAAGCAGGGAGAGTGGGAGAGGGTGAAGCAGGCTTCCCACAGAGCAGGGAGACGGATGCGGGGCTCAATCCCAGGACTCTGGGATCATGACCCAAGCTGACGGCAGATGCCCAATGACTGACTGAGCCACCCAGGTGCCCCTGTTTTTATTTTATTTTATTTTACTTATTTGGGAGACAGAGCACAGGTAGGGGGAAGGGCAGAGGGAGAGGGAGAAGCAGACTCCCCACTGAGCAGGGACCCCACGTAGGGCTCGATACAAGGATCCTGGGGTCATGACCTGGGCCTAAATCATGAGTCTGATGCTCAACCAACTGAGCCACCCAGGCACCCCTTTTTCTTTTCTTTTTAAATGTCCTTTGACAGCTGAGAGTCAACTGAACAAAAAAATTCAAAAGTTTATTTATGCTTTCAAATAAATGGAGACACATACTTCTATGTTCCAGATAAGAAAATATAATATTTCAAAGAAGATGTTGATTCTCTCCATTTTATTCTCAATGGAATTTTGAGGCAATTTGACAAAGTAATTCTTAAGATCACCTGGGAAAAAAAGGCATGCTACTCTAACCAATGTTTGTCAAAAATAAGAATGGATGGAGGAATTTGTCCCATCAGAAAACAAGCTGGAAGATGAGGCTACTGAAATCCAAAGCCTGGTGCTGCCCTAGGAACAGAAAGGACAACTGAACAGAACAGACAGAATGTACTCAAGTGAGAAGGATGACTTTTTAAATCGTCTACAAAAAAAGGATGGAGCTGGAGACAGCTGGCTAATCCTTTGGAAAATATAAAATTAGGTCTGTACCATATGCCAAAAAAAAATCATTAAGATTTAAATGTTAAAAGTAAAATTGTGAAAATACTGAAAGAAAACATAGGGAAATATTTATATAATCTCAGGGTTTAAAAAGATTGTCTAGGGGAGCCTGGATGGCTCAATGGGTTAAGCCGCTGCCTTCAGCTCAGGTCATGATCCCAGAGTCCTGGGATCGAGCCCCACATCGGGCTCTCTGCTCGGCAGGGAGCCTGCTTCCTCCTCTCTCTCTGCCTGCCTTTCTGCCTGCTTGTGATCTCTGTCTGTCAAATAAATAAAATCTTTAAAAAAAAAAAAAAGAATGTCTAAAAACTACTAAAATTCTATTTTATTTTATTTTATTATTTATTTTTAGGTAGGCTCCTCGCCCAGCATGGAGCCTAACACAGGGCTTGAACTCACAACCCTGAGATCAAGACCTGAGCTGAGATCAAGAGTCATCCACTTAACCAAATGAGCCACCAAGGCATCCCTAAAGTCCTGTTTTACTTTACTTATTTTTTTTAAAGATTTTATTTATTTATTTGACAGAAAGAGATCTCAAGTAGGCAGAGAGGCAGGCAGAGAGAGAGGGGGAAGTAGGCTCCCTGCTGAGCAGAGAGCCCGATTCGGGGCTTGATCCCAGGACCAGAGATCATGATCTGAGCCGAAGGCAGAGGCCTAACCACTGAGCACCCAGGCGCCCCTAAAATCCCATTTTAATAGAAAAACTGTTCTTATGTAAACTTTCTCTTATGTTCTTATAATGCATCTGAGCAATAAATACATTTTTAAGTAATATAATTAAATGCTCAAGCTGCTCATGAGTTTAGGAACAGAAAAAGATCCGCTGATCCCATAGGGAAGCACTGTCTCAGTTCATCATCCTCACATCAGTTTTCTTGCCCCAAACCTCCCTGTGACCACCCCGAGACCGAGGTCTTCTCCCTCTGCACCCCGCCAACTGGAACCCTGGCGCCCAAGACACAGCGTGCACACACCTGTCCCTGCACTGGTCTCCTCTACCTGACTGTGACCCCCCTGCAGGCAGACGTGTCTTACTATATGCAGAGTCTGTTCCCCAAGGAGGCGCGCAGGGAGAGGCAGGAAGGAATCCAGCCCTGATGCCCCTTATTTCCATCTGTGGGGCAGGTAAAAGATCTCAAGAGAAGAGGAAGAAGCCTCTGTGAGCAGACTCTTATCCCAAGTCCCAGCTGCTTACCGGTCACACCCTTTGCATCAATAATATTCTCTGCAGCTTTAGCGACTGCACAGTTGAGAGATTCACTGCCAACTTTGTTCATTCTTCTGGAGTTCAAAGCCCGCTTCTGTTTGGTGGTTCCAAAGGCTTCGATGCAAGAATCCATCTGTGCAGCGACAAATCTGGTTTGTCTGGGGACAGGCTGGGCACTACTACTCCTAGCTGTGTGACTGTGGGGAAACTCTCCACCTTTCTGAGCCAGGACTCCCTCACCTGTGAACTGGGGGGACTCATACCTTTCTATCACAAAGGCTTGTATTAATAGTACTCGCTTTGTAAACTGTCATGGGCTATTTACAAATCAAAGGTGTCCTTTTGCACGGCGAAAGCCCGGACTAGACTGAGGATTGGTAAATTCCACGCACAGCCTACCGTCTTCCAGCCCTACACTCACAGCAGATGTTGCTTATCACTCACTCTCTCCCACTGAGCCTGAGGACAGTCTCACGTCCTTCTCAACAAGTGCTCCAGGCAGCGCTGAAGCCTCAACTGACTTGCCATCTGGGGTGAGATCACCCACGCTGAAAATCCTGAAGTTTACTTTGTTTTAATGTGAGAGCTTCCAGGCTACAGCCAGGATTTTCTGCAACTTGCATTAAATCCAAAATCAAGTGTTACACTACACCTATGTCAGCCCAGCAACCCAGTACCGAACACGGCACGGAGCTGTGTCTAGCTGCCCCAGACGGAAGGACAGCGCTCCATGAGGCCGAGAAGTCTCCACAGGTAGACCGTCCGGGGAACCACAGACCCAGTGAGCTGGGAAAAGCCCTCTGCTCAGCCAGCTCATTTTGCACGGAGAAACGCAGTCCTAGAAGGAACGTGCTTCAGCTCCCATGTCTCAGTTCTGTCACACTTACCTTTTCTCTAAAACTTTTGGTCTGACTCTCTTGTGTCAATTCACTCTCAACTGATTCATCTGTCAAAACACAAACCAAGCAAAAACAGAGAGGGGGATAAAAAGCAAGCTGTAAGACCCACAGATTATAACAGTGATTAATATTTATTTCAGGGTTAATCTAAGAAAAACGGATTTCTTTACTGTAGGACTTCCCAGAGTTTAACATGACAGATTCTGTGAACATTTAGTCTGTGTCTTTAGTATACAGTTAGAGGATATGGAGAATAAATTAAGGAGTCAAATGAAAGGTCATTTAATCCAACCTCTTCGTTTTACAAATAAGGAAAAAGCCTCCCAATGAAATGATGTATCCCAGGTCAGTTCACCAGGCAGTGGCCTAGACAGGATTAGAAATCAAGTCCTCGGCTATCTCCAATAAATAGTTTTGACTTCCTTACTAAAGACCTAAAGGCAGACATAAATGTGAGGTATGTGTTACATGAAGCTCTCTCTGATCTCCCATAAACTACTCATATAGGGGCAGGACACAGTAGTGGACAGGAGCATAAGCTCTAGAGTGACCTTGTCTGAATTGCACTCCCAGTCCATATATATGAAATATATATATAATATAATATAATTATAACTTAACATAATGTAATTATAATATACATTATATTAATACTAGTAATGTATAATTACCAGTTGTATAATTATATTAGTACTACTAATATATAATTATACTATTTGTATTAAGATATTATAATTATAAGTTACTTTGTATTATAACATACATATATATCAGCAATATGTCCCCTTCAAACTCTGTGCCAGTTTCGTCATCAATAAAACCACCAGAGAGTTATTACATGAAGTAAATGATGACATGCATTGAAAGTGCTTAGAACAGTGCCTAGCACATAGTAAGGAATCAATAAATGTTGCATGTGTGAACGTATGTGTATATATTTATGCTGGCTAAAATAAAACATTACTTATAATTTTTTTACATGTAAAAACAAAAATTTGTTTGATCAACAGATTAAAGAATAATTTCCTTTGCCTCCTTAGAAGTCAGAAAAGGATTTGGAGAATAATTTAAATGTAGCTGTATTCAAAAAGCAAGGAATTCTTAACCTATAGACTCTGGACCCCTAGGAAAGTCACAGATGGATTTCAAGACTCAAGAGCCCTTTACAATCATATGCAAAATCTCATATATATTCTTGAATATTATGTAAGTTTCCAGGAAGTAGGTCCAGGTCCTTCAGATTCTTAAAAGGACTGACACCATTGTGCTGAGGGAATAAAGCTGAATTACTACCTCGGAAGGTATTAAGCAGATCTACCAATGACTGTTAACAATCCTTCCTCATCTGTACCTCCCGCCCCACTGTGGTTCTCAGTATTTAAGATTTAGGGAACAGGAGTCCCCTGGGTCTGACCCTCTGACCTATCATTCTGGAAGATTCCACTCTACCAGAGCATTCTAAGATGCCAAAGCAGAGAAGCAGTACAAGCTCTCCCACTGGATTAGGGAAAAAATGGATTCTCTCCTGAACAGAAAGTGTAGAGATTTATCAACATGAAAATTACTGTCCAACTTGTAAGTAACTTCCATCACCTGCTAGAGACCCTAAGACCTCTACTCCAACTAGAACAGCAAAGAGTTAAGAAAGGCCTTTGAATGAAAAAAATATCAGACATGCCCTCCAATATTCTGCTCTGATCACTGTTCAAGTAGCTTTTTTTAAAAATTAATATATAATGTATTATTAGCCCCAGGGGTACAGGTCTGTGAATCGTCAGGCTTACCTGTTCAAGCAGCTTTAACTAAAACTTTTTTTTTTTTTTGATTCACTGAAATATGTATTGAGCAGCTAGGGAGATACAAAAGTGACTAAAACATCATTGAAGAGGTAAGCGGATGCACACATCATAGAAAGCCAAGTGTAAGGGGTCACTGCATCACAGCAGTCACGAGATAAGTGCTTTAGGAGATCAAGAATGAGACTGCTTCCAGAAGACTATTTTCTGATCTCAAATCTGTAAACGCTGTACGGACAGGACCTGTGACTGTTTTGCGACATCTCCAACCCCTAACTTGTGCCTGGAGCATAGTAAGCCAGGAAGGCGCCCTTTAAAAAATAACTACAAAATATGTTTTACAAATCAAAAACTAACTCATCTAACAAACCTAAAACATGCAGTGTTTTTGTGAGCCTTCATGACTAGGCCCTACCTGAAAACAGTGGCTGCATGTTGAACAACTCAGCATCATATACCTCCATCTGGCCAGAAGTCTTGTTCAGAATTCCCACAAAATGCCTGAATAAAGAAGGAATAATACCAATGACAATCAGTTATTCAAACATATTGTTTATACAACTTCCTTTTTCCTATTTAAAAGTTCTCACTGGTCCTTCTGCCCCTATCAATACACTTAAGGAACACACCACTTGCTGCTGAGGAAAGTACTTCCCTATAGCAGCAATTCTTAGCATGAGAGGGAAAGGAGAGAATGAATGAGGGAGCTCACGAGGTGGTTCTGGAAGGAAAAAGAGGGGGGGAAAAAAAGCTCCCGGTGATTCTGGTAGTCAACTACACTTGGGCTCACTGCCGTAGTGGGAAACGCTTTGGGGTTTCTAGATATAAGAATCTAGAATTACACTAGCATTTATTGCACACATAAATTTTATGGAGGCAAAGACAAGTAAAACTGGGAATTATGGGGAGACCAGTCTGAACTAGAGAATCTTCGGAAAGGCATGATGTGGTGTTAAAACAGTTTTAAGTATATACAAATTAATCTGACTTCTATCAGGGTGGTTCCATGGGGGCTTTGAAAGGGCCTGTTTTGTGGTTCACTGCTGGGTACTATCAGAGGGACACAGTCTGCGTTACACCAGTGCCTGACAGTCACAGGCTGCTTGGGTGGACAATCATCACTGCACCGATGGGGAGCCTGGGGCTTAGAGAAGGCAGAGTTGTTCAAAGCAGGTGATCAGTGGCAGAGCTGTATGGAAACCCTGGAGCCTTTGACACTACCAGATCCTTTTCTTGTTAGTTCCAGCAGAAATTTATGGCAAGCTTTGGCCTATTAATTAGGCCGCCTTTTGGGAACCAAACAGTTATAAAGAATATTGCAAAGTAATGAAGGTGATCAAAAGGTACTTTCAGTTACAAAATAAATAAGGGGATGTAATTAACAATACTGTATTTAACAATAGTATATCATATATATTTATTATATACAAATGAACAATATTATATATGTGAAAGCTAACAATATTACAAATGTGAAACTTGCTAAGAGAATAAATCTTAAAAGTTCTCATCATAAGAAAAAATAGTCTCTGTGTGGTAATGGATAACTGCTTATTGTGATGACCATTTTGCAACATATACGAATAACTAATGGTTATGTTGTACACCTGAAACTAATGTCATGTTATATTATATCTCAATTAAAATGTTTATTATTCAGAATTTTTTTTAAGTAATCTCTGCTCCCGGGGTGCCTGGGTGGCTCAGTGGGTTAAAGCCTCTGCCTTCGGCTCGGGTCATGATCCCAGGATACTGAGATCGAGCCCCGTGTCGGGCTCTCTGCTCAGCAGAGAGCCTGTATCCTCGTCTCTCTCTCTCTCTCTCTCTGCCTGTCTCTCTGCCTACTTGTGATCTCTGTCAAATAAATAAATAAAATCTTTAAAAAAAAAAAATCTCTGCTCCCAATGTGGGACTCAAACTCACAGCCCTGAGATCAAGAGTTGCATGCTCCACTGACTGAGCCAGGCAGGCACGCCTAAAAAATTATCTTTTTTTTTTTTTTAAAGATTTTTTTATTTGACAGAGAGATCAAGTAGGCAGAGGTGCAAGCAGAGAGAAGGAGGAAGCAGGCTCCCTGCTGAGCAGAGAGCCCGATGTGGGGCTCGATCCCAGGACCCTGAGATCATGACCCAAGCCAAAGGCAGAGGCCCAACCCACTGACCCACCCAGGTGCCCCCTAAAAAATTATCTTAAAGAAAACTACAAATAAATGAGGTTTTAGGAAATCCTACAAATGTAACTCATTTTTTTCTTTTCAGGCATGTCCGCATGCTGGTGTGAAGGCCCCTGATTCTGGGAACACAGGGACATGGTAAACCTCTCCAGATTTCCCCCACTGCCCCTAAAATAAAGACCAAAACCAGGGGGCGCCTGGGTGGCTCAGTGGGTTAAGCCTCTGCCTTCGGCTCAGGTCATGATCTCAGGGTCCTGGGATTGAGTCCCATATCGGGCTCTCTGCTCAGCAAGGAGCCTGCTTCCCCCCTCTCTCTCTGCCTGCCTCTCTGCCTACTTGTGATCTCTGTCTGTCAAATATATAAATAAAATCTTAAAAAAAAAAAAAAGACCAAAACCAGCAGTGCCAGGCTCACCATCACTCTCCTCCCCTTCTCCCATCCCTTCCCCTACCTGCACAGAGTGTTGCACTTGAGAGCTCCCATCCCAAAATTGTTTCCTACGTAGGACAGTCGGTCTGTTTCAGCAGCCTAAAATGAAAAGGGAAAATGCACCACTAGAACCAATGTTGAAACGTATTACGCATCTTGTCCCCTCTTCCCACATTTGCAAAAGCTTTAGAATCCATAACCGAAGTGGATTAGAACTAGAGAGCCTCTGGGAGATGATCCAGCCCCACTATCCAAGTGAATCTGGGGCATCTCTGGGAGAAAGGCAAGAGGACTTTTGAAAGGGAAGCCCCAGATAATGCTGGTTTCTAGCTGGTCTTAAAAGTTCTTGGGGGAGCTGCACCTCAGGCCTTAGGAGAGAGGTCCTCAGCTCCCAGCAGTTAGAGGTATGCAATAAAACGGTTCTGTCAACTACCTCCTGGACCCAAAGTCCAAGCCCTTCCTGAACTTCTTCGCCCATCTCTCCCATGACTGCTCCCATCCACACTGGCTGCACCACACACCAGAACTACGCTGGTGACTCACGCCTCAATCACAGCCAAGCTTTCCTGCTTCCCTGTGTTTATCCTTGCTACTCTCTTCACTTGGACTGCGAAACCTCAGTTGTCAAACCGTCCTCCATCCTCCAGAGCTCAGCTCTGCCGCGCCCTCCCCCAGGAAGGCCTTCTGGAAAGCGGAGACTTCTCCAAGCTCACTTTCCCACCCTCAGCTCTTGGCTTGTCTGCCTGTATGAGTTGCTGAGCTTAAAACCAGTTCTCACCTCTCTAAAGCAGCCATTTTGAACGAAGCAAATCCCCTTGGGGGGCATCTGGGAACGTGTGACATTCTAGGTGTCACAAAGAAGAGGTGCTGAACATCCTGTGAGGCATCAGTCTGGCCCACAACAGAGAATTATCTCGGTCAGAAGGACAATAGTGCTGAGGCTGAGAAACCCTGCTCTAGAGTAGGAGCTCCCCCGGAGTGCGGCCAGGTGCGATTCAGCGGTTCCCCTTGCACCTTACAGCACCAGGCCACAGTGGGGGCTCAATAAAAGCTTGCTGAACGAACAAACCAAGGGAAGGGCACCACTTCACCAAAAGTACGTAGCTGAATGGAGCCTGTCCCATACCCCAACCCGCTGGGGACTCACAGTTCTTCAAAGGCTCATCTGCTATCCCTCCCCTCCTCTTCCTCCCTCTTGCATCCATCCACACCCAGGGCCCTCTGGACCAAGACTAGCCCAGGGGAGACAGCTGGCTACTGCAGCACTTACCAGGATGCGCTGACTCTTCTTCCTGGGGTTTGTGGAGTCACTGCTCTTGTACAAAGTAAAACGCATGTTGCCTGGATTCTGCAACTTCCCATTGGAGAACTGGACTGTAAGATTGCAGCCCAAGAATGAGAAGAGAGTAGATGGACCCACGATATATGGTGGGGAAGAGCTGGGCTGTTTATTGGGAGGGAGTAACTGAAGGAATGGGAATGGTAAGGAAGTCCAGGTCCTGACCTAAACGGGGACTGAAGGAGGTCCTGGTTCAGCTGGGAAGACGTGATGGGGAGGTGAGGCCAGTGCTGCCAAAGGGCTGCGACGGAAGGAAATAACTAGGGGAATGGAGCGGAGGTCTACCCCAGATCTAGAGAGACGGGGAAATCTCTCCCTGGTGGAGAAGGAAGCTGGGCAGGTGTGAGTGAGTGACGGGATGACTGGTACAGCCTGGGGAGGAGGGTGCCTGGGATGTCCTCATCTAGCTGGGAGGTGGTGACAGAAAGCTGGTGGGATGACAAAGGAGCCCTGGCCAAGTCCCAAGGAGTGGAGGAGACTGGAGGGGGTCTTGGCGCAGCTGGGAAAGGGGCACGACAGGGGCAGGAGGCCTGTAGAGGCATCCAGACCGAGAAAGGGAGGGAGTTCTGGGGAACTCTGCTCCGGCTCCGCAGTCTTTACCCAGTACTGCTCTCTGGCTCTCGTCGGGCTCCCCACAGTACAGCCACCTCGCACTCGGCAACACCTCAGCCGCCATCTCGCCAGTCCCGACGCGGAGAGTTTAGACAGACCCGGCCCGGGCCGCCAGCCTTCCATGCGCTGTGGCAGAACAGGGAGGCGGAAGAGGCGTGGCCTCATCAGCCCCGCCTTCCTTGTGCGGAGACGGCGTGGCCCCGCCCCACCCGACACCGCCCTTTTCCGTCTTCCCCAGAGCACAGAGCCGTACCATCTCCGCCCACTCTTCGCCCCGCCCCTCCGCTGGATACGCCGCAGCTCGCTGGCGCAGAAGGGGTTGTGTGGCATTACGGCAGTTACCAGTGCAGAAAGGCCAAAGCACGACCTTAGAACGTGGACTCAAAGCAGGGTATTTTTTTTTTAAGATTCTATTTACTTATTTGACAGAGAGAGAGAGAGATCACAAGTAGGCAGAGAGGCAGGGGGAAGCAGGCTCCCTGCCGAGCAGAGAACTCGATGTGGGCCTCGATCCCAGAACCCTGAGATCATGACCCAAACAGAAGGCAGAGGCCTAACCCACTGAGCCACCCAGGCACCCCCAAAGCAGGGTATTTTTGAAGGACAAGAGCTCAGGTCCTTTCATCTCTGCTACCCACATTGTCTTCTTTCAGGACTCAACAAATGACGTCACCAGTTGTCCCAATAAAGTTTTTACAGCAGAAATAACCTTTGTACCTGGCCCTTATTTTGTGGGCAGATACTTCAAAACTAGATAAATACTCTGATCATCACACTACCAACTTTCTCATTTATTTATATCAGTCTAGACTTGTATATTCCCATTTTATTCAACAGATTAGAATCTGCTACTATCATTTATTTTCAAGTTCAAGTTTTATCAGATTGAGCCAGTGGGAACCCCATTAAGTTGGCTTCTGGGTACTTTTAGCATGTCCACATCATTTTTTTGAACATGTCCTTACTTTCTGGCACAAGATATTTCTACTGGTCTTGGAGTTTCCCTGCCCCAACCCTTGAATCACCCGTTTCTCCAAAGAATTCTGGTTTCTTTTGGTAGGGAATGGTATTTTTAAAAAATATTTTATTTATTTGACACAGAGAGAGAGATCACAAGTAGGCAGAGCAGCAGACAAAGAGGGGGAAGCAGGCTCCCTGCCAAGCAGAGAGCCTGATGCAGGGCTCAATCCCAGCACCCCAAGATCATGACCTGAGCCGAAGACAGAGGCTTTAACCCACTGAGCCATCCAGGTGGCCCAGGGAATGGTATTTAAAAAAAACCAAGATCTGTGGAGTAGGTAGGGACTGCTTTGGGGATGTCACGGCTCTTAGGCCTGAATGAACTGAATTAGGGAATATAGATAAGTAAGCACACTTTTACAACTAACAGTGATTAATTTCTAAATTTAGGATGTCTAAACCCATGTATTTCTAAAATTTAGGATTTCTAAATCCATACTGAAAGCCCTGAGATCATACTGACCTCTAATTCCAACTGAGCACCACAGGTTTATTCTGATTTTCCTTCCTCCCATATTTGTAACTTCCTTTGCTGACACTAAGAAACCTGGTTTCCATTAGCCTTAATATACTTATCTGATGATATATGAATATACTTATTTGATCAGTCCTCCTGCAAGTAACACATCCCCCATCACTACCACCACCACCATCACCTGACATGGAGGCCTAGTAGCCCATTCAGGCTCGAACACTTTAAACCAAGCCCAGGCTTCTGCATGGATACTGTATTAGTTTGGAGGTCTCCAGAGGAGCGGAACTAGTAGGAGATCTATATCTATCTATATATTTAGAAACAGAGAGAGAGAGAAGTTTGTTGAGTAATTGGCTCACACAATTATGAAGGCTAAGAGGTTCCACAATTTGCCATGTGTACACTGGTAGGAGAGCTGCTGGTGTAAGTCCGAAGGCCTGAGAACTAGGGAAACCAATGGTGGAACTTCAAGCCCAATGACCAGAGATGAGATGTCCCAACTCACAGAGAGAGCAAGAAAAAAATGGGAAAACTCCTTCCTCCACCTTTTGTCTATTCAGGACCTCAAGGGATTGGATCATCCTCACCTACATTGCTGAGGGCAGTCTACTTTACTGAGTCCACTAACTAAATTAAATGCTAATTAGAATGCTAATCTCATTCAGAAATACCATCATAAACACACACAGAAATGTTTAATCTAACTGGCACCTAGAAGCCAGTCAAGTTGACACATGAAACTGACCGTCACAGATGCTCCCTCCTTACTCTGCTCAGACTCTGACAACCCTCACCAGGGTGTCCCCCTGCCCAGATGCCCTTCTCACTCTCTTGGGCTCAGACAGTTTGTACCAGGCCACACTTTCCACATGGATAACCTGCTCGTCTTGCTTGGGCTCCACCACCCCTGCTCTGGATCACTGCAGACTCCCCTGTTTCTCTGAGTGGAAAGCTACTTTGCTTGACCCCCTGAATGGCTTTTGGATTGAGTTGTTCCAGAAAAGAAAAGGAAAAAGGGGGAGGTGGGAAAGGAGCTTAGCTGCCTAATTATTTACTTGTCTCCCCTACTGGAGACAGACTTATTTGAAGTTAACAATTAACAAGTTGGGAGTTAAGCAATAAACTCATTTACGGGTTTTTTTTTTTTTAAGATTTATTTATTTATCTGAGAGAGAAAGAGAGAGCACACAAGTGAGAGGGGCAGGGAGAGGGAGAGAGAATCTCAAGTAAACTCTGTGCTGAGCACAGAGCCAGACATGGGGCTCAATCCCATGACCCTGAGATCAGGACACTGAGATCACAACCTCAGCCAAAACCAAGAATCAGATGCCCAACCAACTGTGTCACCCAGGCACCCTGATTTATGGTTATCTTTACTGCTGCATCTCCAGCTCCTGGAGCAGTGCCTGGTACATAAGTAGATCCTCAATAAATGTTGAATGAATGAGTGACAGGGCAAGGAATGAATCTGAATCATCACTAATCCTAGGAACCTCGGGACTGGAGCTCCAAGATGCTTACTAATGGTGCTTAAAATTAACCAGCATTGGATTTGCAGAGTAGATTCTCTGTAGATATTGATTGGTGGCATGAAAACATTAACAGTTAAGTCAAAGTTAAAAGGTTACGTATAAGGAATCCATTGTAGTTGAGAGGTGCCCTGCCCCCTCCTGGTACAGCCCTGCTACTCAAAGTGTGGCTCCTGGGCCAGCAGCAGCAATGTTATCTGGGAACTCATGAGCAGTGCGGAATCTCGAGCCCTACCAGATCTTCTGAGTCAGAATCTGCATTTAACAAGATCTCTGGGTGATTAGTGTGCACTGTTGTAAAAGACTATTTCCCTCTAAGGCATATCTTTACCAGTCCAGTGAAGTCTCTGAAAGTCCTCAGAATTGGCTGCTTTTATGGCTAGGTGGAAGAATGAAGAAAGCACCCATGGATTGAGAGCAAAGACTCCTAGAATTACAGTTAAGAATTCAAAGTGACAGCACCTCTATTTGGGGAAGCAAAGTGTTAATGGCAGGGTGACTGGGAAGGGGACTGTAGTATGCCCCTATGTTGTTTAATTATTCAAAAATTATTCAAAACACGTGTACACCATATATGTATAAATGCATGTGTATATAACTGAGATGAGGCAGGGTGGAGGGAGCCCTACTCTGGCAGTGACCAAAATGTGAAAAACTACAAAAGCCCCTTCTAAATTAGAATCAGGGATAATCACAGGTGACATTTACCATAAAATGTTTGTTTATAAACCTAGTTTGGAAATTCAGAGACTTCTGGAGTTCTCTCTTAGCTTCATTTTTCAGGAGGGGGAACCAATGTTTACAAAGTAAGTAAAAGAATAAGGCCCGGGGCTGGGTGCGGTGGTCGTGGGAGTCTGTCTTTTCCTTGGGTGATATCTCCACCTGCTGGCCGTTCAGGATATGGCTACAGAGGACCTGAAAACGCTTGCCACAACTTACTGTGTTCTCTCCAGGTGCTGAACTTTTCAAGCATAAAAGCGTCTTGGGGCACCTGGGTGGCTCAGTGGGTTAAAGCCTCTGCCTTCGGCTCAGGTCATGATCCCAGAGTCCTGGGATCGAGCCCCACATCGGGCTCTCTGTTTGGCAGGGAGCCTGCTTCCTCCTCTCTCTCTCTGCCTGCCTCTCTGCCTACTTGTGATCTCTGTCTGTCAAATAAATAAAATCTTTATTTTATTTTATTTTATTTTTTTTATTTGAGAGAGAAACAGCGAGAGAGAGCATGAGAGGCGAGAAGCAGACTCCCCATGGAGCTGGGAGCCCGATGTGGGACTCGATCCCGAGACTCCAGGATCATGACCTGAGCTGAAGGCAGTTTCTTAACCAACTGAGCCACCCAGGTGTCCCTAAATAAAATCTTTAAAAAAAAGAAAGTGTCTTGCTTTTTTTGGAGGTCTTCCTTTGGAAGGAGTCCTAGGATTTAAATTAATAGATACTAGAGCATGGGCATTAAAAAAAATCCTTAAGACTGTTCTTGTGATGATGAGCAGTGGGTGTCATGTGAAGGTATTGAATCACTATATCGTACACCTGAAACTAATATAACACTGTATGTTAACAATACTGGAATTTAAAGAAAAACCTTAAAAAAAAAGAAAGAAATGAAAACAAATTAAGAACATCAGAAATAGTAAATGTTTTAGTAAATGTAAAATATTACCTTCTTCATTTTGTTCTTTAAGCTATAAATAATTAAGACAAAATTTTTTAAAAAATCCTTAATACACACTGTCAAATTTTCCTCCAATCATTTTTCAGATCTTTTAAAATCTTCATCAAGGCACTTTGGGAGATGATAATGAAAATACACCATTCTTGCCCTTAGGACTTAATTACCTAGGAGGAACACAAAAATGGAAAGAAAGGCATACTGAAGGGTGGGTGCTATTAAAAGTCTTTGGAACTTCTCTTTTTAGTTCTGTCAGTTTTATTGCCTTTCTTATGAAGCTTTGTTCCTAGTATCATATTCATTCTTGTTAACTCTTCTTGATGAATTAACCCTTTTTTTTTTTAAGATTTTATTTGACAGAGAGAGACACAGTGAGAGAGGGAACACAGGCAGGGGGAGTGGGAGTGGGAGAAGCAGGCTTCCTGCTGAGCAGGGAGCCCGATGCGGGGCTTGATCCCAGGACTCTGGGA